CGAGGAGCGTGTCAGGCTACATTTCACTGTGTGTTATACTTGTATATGCATGTGACAAATAAAGAACCTTGAACCTTGAACCTAGCTGCGTTTTCAAAAACACCGGTGTACGTGCGGACGTAGCGTAAGAGAGTTAGCAGTTTAATCTCTTACTACCTGTAATTTATTGCAGATTACTTGTATTTGTTTAGTTGTTTACTAAATGTTTGAGGTGTGAAATAAACCGCAATGGAGCAAAAGATGGGTGTGTGTGGCTGGAGGATGTGTTTGTGCGTGTCCGTGTGCGTGCGCGCACTGGGGGGGGGGGGCAATATTTTTCTTATAAAACAGAGGGGGGCCCAGCAAAAAAAGTTTGGGAACCACTGTTTTAGAGCAACAAGTTATTTATAGCACAGTGACTGGAACACAAGTGAAGAGAGATGTAACATCATACAAGACCATTGTTTCATCTGCCTCCATAATGACATCTCTCACCTTATCAACAAATCCAAAGTGTTTTGGATGCAGTGATTAGAGCTGCAAAGGGTTCATCTTTCACCATCTTACAATGCTTTGACTGCAGCCACTCCCCAGCTCTCTGTGAATGGTGCTCATGGCCATTGATCAATAGTCATCGAACAGTGGTCGCTGATCAATAGTCATGACAATAATGATCAAGAAACTGACCTCACAGCCTGTTGTTGTCAGTGGTGCTGCTTTCAATCATTGTGCAAATGTCCTGTTTATAAGGTTGGAAACCTGCAGTCATCTGAGCCTGAAGACGTCACCTGGATGATGACGAAACGTTTCTCCCACTGAAAATGTCCAGATGAACAGAATCAGCGTTCTGGGATTTCCTTACCTGGATGACTGAGCTTGTAATGACATTTCTGTGTCAAAAAACGATCCTTGTTTTCTTAGAAGACATAATGATACCATAAAAAGTTTTACTGTGTTTTTGTGGGTATTTTGTCGACTCCATTTACATATAGGGAATTTTCACATATTTCACTGAAGAGGCATGTGCCACCCTGCCTAGACCTCTTGCCCCTCCTTTGTCCCCCCATGTAAAAAATTCTACAGCTGATTCTGCTTTACTGCTTTGAGTCCAAGACTCGGCAATTAAGGGGATTCACAGGAAAGAACATATGTTATATAGCCACTGAGAAGTGAAAAGATTAATTTTAAAATTACTTTTATCCATCACACATTCCTAAGCAAATTCAATCTACAAAAATGTATTTATTTGTATTTATTTATTTTACTAATTTTTAAAAATTTCTTCATGCCCTGGAGGACGGGGCTGTGGCCCCCCCACACCCTCTAGCAGATTATTACATGAAGGAACCTTTTAAAAAAACAAAAAACAAGCACGTCCATGCTCACAGGTGTACACACGGGTGATCACACCCACAAACTACACCCTTTTTGGCTCCTACCTCAAAGCACACTGTGTTCTGTTGATCTTA